ATAAACTTGATGAGTAGTATTTCGAGCCAAAACGAGCCGAACACGAACGAACACATCTTAGTTCGTGTTCGGCTCGTTAACTTATCGAACAAAATTAACGAGCCGAACACGAGCTTTTTAACGAGCCAAACACGAGCTGTTCGCGACCTATTTCTGCGTGTGGTGTGGGCTACGCAAGTGTGGCCTGTGAGGCACGGTAAGCACAGGGAAGATGCGTCTGCCATAGGGAGGCGTTCGGCGAGATCAGCAAAGGCTAGGGCAGAGTCGCCGATGGCTTTGAAGAGGGAATAGCGGCAGGGAGGCGCGAAGGGAAATGCGAGAGGATCTATCACGGGGAGAATCAATCGCAGGGAGGTAAGAGCAAAGGGGCTTCGACGACCTCGTGCGGGACAAAGGAGTTTAGTCGCGCGAAGAGACGATCGGCTCTGGGCGGGAATTTCACGCAACGATAGGAAGACGCACCGGACGGCAGAAGGCTTGGGCAGAGGAATTCGGTGTCATCTGTTTGAACAGGGAAGAGATTGCAGCTTCGATGTGGAGAAAGCGGCAAGAAGAGCGATCGATGGAAAGAGCAGTGGAATGGGAATGGGACAGTGGAGAGACAGACGAGAGGAAGAATGCCGCCGAGGAAAGTGATGGTGTGCGAACAGTGAAGAACAACTTGCGGGAAACAGAGAAGAAGAAATACACAAAAGAAGTGGAGGAGGAATAGTGCAAACCTGCGTGTGGTGACGAGCAGCGAGGCTTCAACAATATGGACGGGAAGACGAAGACGAGAACCGAACGAAAGGGAACGACAGGGAACAGTAGCGGGAACGGTTAATACAAAAAATTAAATAATTTAATACATGATGAAATCAGCCCCATTGTGATTGAAGTCCTGATACAATTCTGTATTATAACTCCTGATATAATATCTTTTCCTCCAATAGTTGATTAATTAATTTATCTTTTCTTCCACCTTTTATTTTTTTTTTATTTCACCATCAACACACTAATAATCTAATTTAGAACACATGTCAAACACCAAAAAAAAGGAAAAACAAAATCCAACTCTCCGTTAATCTAATTCTCTCCAGTTTCGTCCCCTCTGTAACGTAAATCTGAATTTATCAAATCCAACTGTGAGGCAGATTAAACGGATTTACCCGTCGTTGCTCGCGTGCTCCATCTCCACCGCGAGCTTGAAGGATTTCTCGAATGTGATAAATCCTATTTAACGTAAATCTGCATTGCAGTCAAACACCGCCTTAAACTGAAGTTCAAAGTAATGATCTATTGTCTTCATTCAGAGACGAAACTAAGCACATCATACAATATGCCATTGAATTTTTTTATTAAAGTATAGTTATTTTAAAAAACGCTCAAGAAATTTATTATTTTCAAGATATATTTATTTATTTTTAGAAATAAAAAATCAAAACATATAAAGAACATGCTAAACAAATATGTCTTAATGAACAAAAGAAAAGCCAAAAATAAAAACTAAAAACAAAATTAAGTCCTAACAAACAAACCCTTGGAATACTCACATGTCGAGTAAGAGAGAGATTTGCCTCAAAAAAAGATTTGAGTGTCCCAATATCCTCCCAATAATCATTAAAGAGATATGCCTGCAATACAATAACACAAGAACGTTATCTCTAATTTATAATAGTTCAGAAATGTCTTCACAGAACAGATAAAAATCCTGCAGATATTCAGAGACAAATTGCTTGGAAAGTTGGATTTGTTAACAACTTCAAAGATAAATATGTGAATGACTTTTAATTCCATCAGGTGAAGCACCAAAATATTCTTTTGACTATTTATATGGGGTCATTTTAGTCCCCGAGTCTATAAAAGTCAAATTAATCCTTAGATTCATGTTAGTATGAGCTGAAATAGTCTCTAGAGAGACTACTTTAGCCCCCATTAAAAAGAGTCTGTGAACTATAATGACACTTTTACATACCCTGGGATTAAAATGGCATCTAAAGAGGTTCAGGGACCATTTTGGCACTTTTCTCCAATTTTGTTTTAGTGACAATGTAAGTCTATCTAAATATCAAGTCAAGCACAAAAACATTTCACAGATTAAATAGAAGAAGCAACATTTGGGAAACAACAATGACATCCAAATAAAATAGAAACAAACAACTCCTACGATTAGCGTTCAACAATGTTCGCTCTTTTTTTTGTTTTTTTTTAACTTGAACTCCATACGTGGAGGAAAGAAGTAGATGAAATTGATTCAAAGAACCGCCATAGAATTTATGAGAAAAGGTTTAAGTTGAAACAGATGTATCCATAAGGGAAAAAGTTGATTCATATAATCATTTACCGATGTGAGTGTTCAAATTAAACGGAATTGCAGGAAACAGACCCAGGAAGACCCATGAAGCAAGCGCAAGATGCATTCATTGTCATCATTAACCTACTTATTCTAGGATGGCTGAGGTTCTTTTTGGGGCCGCTGCAGCTTATTAAGAAGCGGTTGTGAAGCTGCTGTAGAATAATCTGATGTTGCAAAAAGCTGCAGGGGCTATTACAATTTTTATTTTTTTAAAAAAGTCAAACCGCCAGCTAGAAAGCTGTCACCGCACCGAGCTAGGACCGCTGGAAAAACCCTGATTTTAGCGGCAACTTTTTGAAAAGGCTGTTAAAAAACAGTTTATCCAAAAGGGCAAAACTACAGTGCAGTGCAGCAACACCACCGCAATGCTGCCCCATACTGACCCTTATTGAAATAAATTAAAAAGGGAAGAGATCATAGTAGAAAAAGAAAGATTATATGACTAAATTTTATTTACTTGATTTATGTATAAAACCCAACATGAAAAGTTGAATATAAATATATAAAGAGATACCTATACAAAAAATAAATCCAAAAATCAATCTTGACTCTAAAATCTAAAATTAGCCATACAATAGAAATGGAATGTTGATGTCTATGGATTGCTACATTACTGTAGATGGAAAGTTGATGCCAATAAATTATTGGTTGATGTACATGGAAAATTTATTGTTGATGAATTATTGGATTGGTGCAGATAGTACGTCATTGTCCATGGATTGATGAATTGTCTTAGATGGAAAGATATTGACCGCAAATTTAAGATAATTTGAACACTCCATCTTAAACTAGATTGCATATGTTGATTATGCCCAATTTGTTGATTAGTTTATCAAAATTCTTTATGGGTAAAGTCTTGACGAAAATAGTTACAGTTTGAAAGTTTTTTGGAACATAATTTAATTGTGATAGTCTATTTTTATGTTTTTTATAAAATAAGATGTCTATTTTAAGGTGTTTAGTCTGGTCAAGGTGAACATAACTATTTGCAATACTTACGAAAACTTAGCTGTCACAATACATTTTTAGAGACTTTTCACCAATAATTTAGTTCTACTAATCTTTTTAATTACACTTTCATATAAACCAAGTGCTATTGTCCAATCTGCTTCAACATTGCTTCTTAAGGCCATAAATTGTTTCTTTTGTCTCCATGTAACCAAATCTCCCTACGCCAAGTACAATAACCATAGGAGGATATTTGATTTGAAGCTTCTCCAGCCAAACCAACATAATGGAAATGTCAATTTCCAAACTGGACAACTTTTTAAGTAAAATGCCTCTTCTTCGTTTCTCTTCAAGCTATTAAGAAAAACGTTCTTAATGTCAAGTAGATGTGGATGATAGTTCAAATTAATCGCAAGAGAGAGCAAAACTCGAGTTGTCTTAAGTCTAACAACTGGAGAAAAAATTTATTGATAGCCAACATGTAATTCTATTCTTTTAAGATAGTTCGAGCTATAAAACATATACATGAAAAACAACTACCTTATACAAGACAATATGAGTAGTACAAAATACGATCCTAGCACAAGGATGACCAAATCTGAAGATATCATGACTTAACATTTTGAAATACAGGAACATTTTTGGACTATCAGAATGGCCTATAATTGAAACTGTTAATAGCTGACCAAGAAATAATACACAGTCAAAAGAACAAGAAGGGAAAATGGTCTAAAAGAGGAAAGGTTCTATGAGAGTATAAATGGGGCTTACATTTCAAAATGTCAAACGACTCCAAATCAGTAGAATTATCAATCTATAGATGGAACATTTATCAGGAAGGCTATTGATCTATAGAAAGATATTAGTGAAGGAAAATAGTACTTATATCATGAGATCTCAGCAGAGCAAGAATCACCAAAGAACTCCAAGAAAAATAATCAAAGGATTGTGCACACAAATCTTAAGAAGAAACCTAATGAGGAGTTGACCTAAAAGTCTATAAGTGTAACAAACCGATTAAGGAAATAGATCAAATGAAAAAACCCAAGGAAGATAATATGAGAGCATTAAACCCTGAAAAGTTAAAATGCACACCAAAGTTTTATCCTAAATAGGACGCATTATTATTTTCATGAGAACCAGACTTAAAAAGAAGTTGAATCAATTTATTAGAACATTGGGATTTATGTTTCATTATATAATAGTGAAAATAATAACAAAGGAATAACCAAAGGTGATGATTACAATATTTTGATTAAGAGACGCGATACGGAACTAATCCAAAACCAGCAAAAAGAGAAACAATTTCACTAATCAACTGAATTAGGGTTTACCGAACACAACTCAAAACTGAAATCAGACGCAACAACAATAGTTCTTGTCTAGGTTCAGAAGAGACGACCCCAGTGTATTACAATAGTTCTGGTGGCTAGGTATGAGGGGAAAGGGACAGGAGGCTGGTGGTGGGGTTTGGGAGAGGATGGACAGCAGGTAGGACTGCAGGGAAAGGTTGGTAGGGTGTTGGTTGGAGGCCTGGAGGGATGGACATCAATGGTTGCTACAAGGGAAGGGATGATAGGTTGCTGGTAGGTGGCCTGGAGGGATGGACAGCAATGGCTGCTGCAGAGGAAGGTAAGACAGGGTGCTGCGAGGTAGACTGGAGGGCTAGACAGCAAGGCTGCGGCAGTAAAAGGGTGCAGCAGGACAGCTAGAAGGAGATGGGATGACCAACAGCTAAGGGAGGTGAAGGAGAAGTTATATAGAGGGAAATAGGATAGGATACATCGCCACCTCGGAGCACGATACAGCCGGAGCACCACTCGTCCTCGGATAGAGCCCTCGCAAGAAAAAATAGAGACTTCTACAGAAATCTGAAATAAATCACACAATACATAACCCTCATTCCCTCAAACACCAAATAAAAGGAGTTTAAACAAATGGGAAACAAAAAAGGAAAGGGGGAAGGGGCTAGCGGCAATGCCGCCCCTTCTAATTGCTGCTCTTTCCAATGGGAGCTGGACCCGCAATCACTGGGCCAGTTCTGCCGTTCCATCTGCCAGTCGGTTCAGCCGACTGGCCTCTTCAGCCCAGCGCAAGATGCTGTCTTCAAACCTAAATCGAAGGGTAGATATTTAATGCCCCATAAAGGTAGTGCTCCTTTTAAATCAAATGCCAAAAAACACAATGGGACTTGCAACTTGAATCTTAAAGAGGTTCAAAAAGCCTAACAGTGATCTTATAATCATGTCTAGAAGGGATAACCAGTTAGACCTGCCTAAATATTTTGAAATCCATGATATCAACGTCTAGGGTTGATGTTATTATAAGAAGAAAGACATATAACCTTGCCATTAAAGCAAAAGCAGCTCGATCATGTGGAGTATAAAAAGAAGAAAACTAGCCAAATTTTATTTAATTATCTAGTCCCTACTATGAGAAAGGAATGAATATAATATGCTAACTCACAAAGCTTGCATGCATGTTGATTGGCTCAAGTCATTTGTCCATATCTATAAAACAAATCTTTAATGGACAAGGTAGCCAGTTAAACAATTTTTATATATACATGGATCATAAGGGTGCTATTATTACTCATTTTGAAATAGTTGTGATACCGGAGAAAAGGGCTCAAACCACAAGAACAACTTTTATTAATAGGAAAATAGAGTCACAAAACACACAAACTGAAAATAATATCAACGGCACACCAAACACCTCAGAGAGTGCATCCCAAGGGCGGTGGAGGTTACGAGGTGGATTGGGATGACTAGTGGGGGTGGCGACAGTGAAGGCGAGGTGAGAAAATTGTAGGAACAGTTAGACCAGCTAGCGGACTAGCTGTTCGGTGCAGCTAGAGTAATAAATTGGGGTAGAAATGATAGGAACAACAAAGGTTAGCTGCCCTAGAGTGACGACAAAGATGGGTGGGTTGGCAGCGATGTAGCAAAGATGTGGGCAATTTGGGGTGGTGGGAAGGTGTTGGACAGCAAGGTAGATTGCTGGAAATAGGAACAAGAAAGTTACAATCACCACCGAGGAGAGGGATACAACTGGAGCATCAACCTAACTGTCGAATACAGCCCTCGAGGACCAAAAAAATCTGAAAGAAAACTACACCAAAAACTAACCCTGAACTCAAAAACAAGCATATAAATAGACTCCAAACAAGAAAGAACAAAGAAGGAAGGAGGACGATTAGCAGCATTGCCGCTCGATCAAGCGGGACGCAGAAAAGGTAGAGAGAGAGGCGCGGGAGGTCGCTCGGCCCATCAAGAATCTCTCCCTAGTCGCTTAGCCCGAGATTCCCCTGGACAAGTTTTCAACATACGGGTAGGGGCCAGTGCAGGAAATCCAGCCCTCGAGTCCACTCAAGGAAGCTACACATCAGTCTCTCGGGTTTGGGGAAGCTTCGACTTTATTTGTCAAAGCTTCAGGTTCCTCGTAAGACGACGTGAAGTCCCTTGGTAGGTCGATCATGTTGGTGTTGTCATTCCACAACACATTTTGGTGGAATAGGTTTTCGTACTCTTTTGATATGCCCTAAGCGGGAGCCGCATTTAGAGGTGGGTTCTCGCAATGCAACTCTCGAGCCCTTACATTTGAAATCTTCTTCTTCCACTTCTCGTGCCTAGCCTGCAATGGTTGAGTAACAAGTATGTGAGAATAACTCAATTCGGAGATAAAATCTGTGGCGAAATTTGCCACTCTCACTAGCGACCGCATAGGAGAGACATCTTCTTTATTGATAGGACCTGGATCCTATTGAAAAATTTTCATCCCCCTCAAGCTCTAAGAGCACATTTCAAAGCTAAGGTTCATTGCTCCTATTTGGACATCCGTTGATGGGTGCCTCGCTGAGTTGAATCTAACATCTGAAATCCTCCCTATAATATTGCAAGCATGGCACAAAATGAATCCTCTTCGATCATGTTGGACCTCCCTCCGTAAGTGTAACTTAGGAATGGGTCTATACATCTGAAAATCTGCAATGCTCTGATTTGTGGTCGACTCCTCAAATTCATGCCCTTTTTTGGACATCCCAAGTCAATTCGACTGATGTTCCTCTCAAAATCTGCAAAATATTGGCTTGAGACACCATAATCTCATACACTGTTGGACTGCCTATTACCTTCTATAGAAGTGACTGTTACCTCAGTTGGAATCTCTATCTTCGGGTCAACCGGAATTTGTGGTGTCTCTTCTTGTTGGCTACCAGTGGAGAATTCTCTCTGACATCTTTATCTTTTCCAGGACCAACTGTGTCATTGCTAAATTTTCAACAACACCCTGCTCAGTGAAACAGATCTCTCCCCTGGTTGAGCATTTTGATTCCACATGCCCAAATTAGTGGCACTTGCCGCATTTTCTGGCTACGACAGACTTGCGGATTGGTTTCACTAGATAATAGCCAGAGGTTGCTTGGTGTTGCGGTCTCTCCACTTCGGAAGCTAGAGTCTGCAACTTTTGGCGGCAATAAGTTGGGAAGAATTGTTGTTATGTTTCTCGCGTCATCTTCATATCTTTTCGTTCCCCCCTTCGCCTCCAATTGGATTTTATATTCTCGTAATCTACCATCGAAGTCGGCGGATTTGTCTCCATATCTCCTCTCATGAAGGCTCAAGTATGTATCTCAATGGTGGCATGACTGGGGATTAGGGAATACTAAGGAAATTTGGTGGGATTAGGGTTTTGGATTATGGAAAGGATACCTGCTGGTAGGAAAGAAAGTTTTGGTTTATGGCGGATGCTAGGGAATCCTAGTATAGGAATATGGTTGGGCTAGCTCTGATACCAAATGATACTGGAGAAAAAGACTCAAACCACAAGAACAACTTTTAGCAAAAGGGAAACTGAGTTACAACATACACAAACTGAAAATAATATCACCAAAACATAAAACGACACAACACCTCGAGAGTGCATCTCAAGGGCGGTAGAGATTACTAGCTGGATCAGGATGACTAGCAGGGGTAGTGGCAGCAGTGAAGACAAGGTGAGAACTGTAGGAACAACTAGAGAATTGGTTGTCCCAAGGCGGCGACAGGAACAATAAAAGTTAGTTGTCCTGGGGTGGTGGTAACAAGGATGGGTGGGTCGGCAACGATGTAGCAAAGATACGGGCAATTTGGGGTGGCAAGAAGGTGTTGGACAGCAATGTAGACTGTTGGAAATAGAAACAAGGAAGATACAATCACCACCGAGGAGTGATACAACCGAAGCACCACCCTAATCGTTGGATACAACTCTCGAGGGGGAAGAAAACACCACACATGAAATCTGAAAGGAGACTACACCAAAAACTAACCCTAAATTCAGAAACAAGCATATAAATAGACTCCAACCAAGAAAGAATAGAAAAAGGAGGAGGGTTGGCAGCATTACTACCCTTCCTAAAATGCCGCTCGATCATGCGGGATGCAGGAAAAGCAGGGAGAGAAGTGCGGGAGGTCGCTCGCCCCTTTAGGGATTTCGTCCAGGCCGTTTGGCCTAGGATTCCCTTGGACCGGTCTTCAACTGACCGGTCAAGGTCAGAGCGGGAAATCCTCCCGCTCCCGCATCCATGCTCACAAATCAGTTTTAAAAAAAAAACCAATTTTCATGATTGATTTTAGATTGCTTACAGGATAGGGTAAAATATTCAATTCTTGGGAGCCTAACAATATGAAAATATACTAATAACTTTAGAATATTAAAAAAATATGAAATAAACATGTAGTTTTCTAAAACACATTTATAAGCAAATCAAATCAATTTGAATGAGAATAAAAGTATAATGTCCATAGTGCAATTGGGTTCTACAGTACACCCAAAAACATAGAAAGACGGTTGGGATTTACTTCATATTACTCAATCCTAAATATATACATAAATATCAATGAAATGTTCGGCCTTGGTTTAATATGTGCCAAGATAAACTAAAGAGAAATGATGCACAATATTCAAACAATAGATAATATATTGATGTCGGGCATACCTTGACAAATAGTTCTTTTGCTGATGCTGGAATTATGTCAGAGCCGAAGTCATTTGCAGTGGGAAAACGCCATCTGACCCAACAATCATGCATAACACTTAATGTTCCTGTTAAAGACTGCTTGATAAATTTTATTTTACAGTTAAGACCTACGTAAACAGATAAAAAAAGGAGCATTTATATACATACCACCCAATTCATATGTATTTGCATATCTAGCATCTAACATTTATTTTCTACATTTATACCACCAAATCTTTAATATCATATAAAAATACCACTATTTTAACTTAAAAAAAAAAAAAAGTGAAATACACCTTTTGATGTATAGGTAACATGGCATATATGTAAAAAAAAGAAGTTTAGGTGTTAGATATGCAGCTACATAAGAATTGATCAGTGTGCATGCAAATCTTTCTAAAAATATTTTGTTAGTCATGCAAGTGAAATTAGCTCAAGCTTGAGTGAGTGCTTGTGCTTTCAATCTTTTAACTAATAAAAAATATTTAAATTTAAATAGAAAATATGAATATAAGATTATTTGTCTTTTAATCTTTCAAGAAATAAGTTTTCATGAGATTGATTCCTCTCACATATGCCTGCAGAAATATCAAATCCCTAAGCCCCAATCCACCTTCTCCTCCCTCACATGATGTCTATACCCGAATCCCCGATTGCTTTAGGAAGCCCTATCTCACAGCTCTTTGTATACTTTACCAACCCGCTACTCATCTTCACTACTCATCTTGGTCGAAGCCCTTCGCTGCTGGCCGCTCATCTTGTTTCATTTTTAAAGTCTCATTTTATTTTTTTTATGTGCATTTACATACATACCACACAATTCTTATGTATCTACATATCTAAACACCTAAACTTACATCCATAAACTCAAATATTTAATATCACATCAAAAGTATCATTATGAATACTTCTTAAAAGTGACATACACATCTATATGTATAGGTTTAAGACACCAAAGTGTTATTAAGGTAAATGTGAAAGTTTAGGTGTAAGATATGCAAAAAAATAAGAAGTGTGTGGTAGTAAACTTCCCTTATTTTTAGATGTTTATGTTAACTAAACTCGACATTCAAATATGAATCAGATAATTATGAACTTTGAACAATAAAAATTATATATATTTTTACTTATATTTATTTTTAATCAGATTTTATATTTATCCAATGCTTCAACACATTTGTCCATCATTATTTCTGCATGTTATAACACTTAGGATTGTCTAGGAATGCTCCTTGTACCATTAAACTTTTGTTTTCTAATCAGTCAACAAAACAACTATTATTAGTTATCTGTTTCACATCAATGCCGTACCTTAGAAGATTTAATAGTATCTCTTTCTTGAACACATAAATCCCCATTGAAGCAATGTATGGATTCCTCTTTGCCTCTTCTTGTGACAAACCAAGCACAGAAGTATCAACTTCCTACAACAAGTAATGTTAAATCATGATCAATTAGTTAAAGGGCATTTTGGAAACCTTCTGTTTTTATTTTTTATTTTTATTTTGTTTTTTATGTTTTGATTTAAATTAAAACACAACATTTTTAGGTCTTCTGAGTATTTTAAAAAATAGGTTGATTTATTAAAAAAAATAAGAAAAAAAATAAAAATTATACCACTCGAACATTTTTTCAAAAATAAAAGAAAAAAAAACAAAAATAAGAAAAAAAAGTGATGCCAAACGGGCCTTAAGCTTATGATGAAAGATGGATTATTTTTACCATTGCTTTTAAGTCTTCTCCTTTAGGTTTTTCACTGAATGCAATGACCCTTCCTTTGCTGTCTATCTTCATTAGACCAAAATCTGATGCACGGCTGACACATAAAACAAGGCAGTAATGTACAGTCAAACTTTAAAATCAATATAAAAACAACTAAAATGCATCCGACACAAAATTAGCAATTCTATGAAAAAAAAAAGTTTGAGAAACAATCAAGTAGGAAAGGAAATTATTGCCAACAAATTTGCAAAACCATCCTGTCTATGTACTAAGAAACAGACCAACTATCAAGAACTGTTGTTAAATTTCACAAATTATAACATTTCGACTGAAGAACACAAACACATGTGTGTATTCATGATATAAACTTCTAGTTAATTCAGGAATTCCATTTGATAAAGCTGTCTTTCATAAATTAAAAAAATTAAGAATAACAAAATTTATGTAGCTTATTATGTAGTATGTGATTAAAACAAAATTAGCAAAGCCAAAAAAAAAAGGTAAAAGCCTGATTAACTAATGCATATAAATATGAATTTTGTTCCACCATTTCAATGATGACCAGGTAAATACTGGTTGGTTTAACAATTTTCCTTCTTCAATAATTACCAAGCTTTTAAGACTGAGAAGAAAGCCAAAGATTGAGCATTATAACTAGTAAAAACTAATATGATATTTGCTGATTAAGTTTATAAATAAGAACATTCAATCACATTAAGAATGCAGAATGCACCCGAGCAGAGTTACCTCAAATTATTTTATTTAAATCAAGAAAGCAGTATAAGCATTACCTGTCATCCATAGGAACACAGGAAATTGTAATCTCTGCGCCGCTTTGTCTATGGTTCTGTCCAAGAAGAAAATGCAAGTGCTGAATATTAGGGTTTGTTTGGGATCACTTTTGTTATATGTTTTTGCTTTTATTTTAAAAATATGTTTATTTAGTACATCTTTTGCATATTTTTATTCATTACTAAAAAAAAATATAAAAATAACTTTTAACTCTTTTGAGTATTTTTAAAAACAATTAAATTTTTTGTAACATACAAAATAAGTTTTATTTCAAATAAAAATATAAATAAACAAATAAAAAATAAAAAAATAAAAGTGGTCCCAAACGGCCCCTTAATAACAAGTAGAAGAAATGATTTGTGTCCATTATCACCTGAACAAAGTCCATATAGTCCATACGGTAAAGATGATCTCCGGAGAGGATGAGCACATCCTCAATTTCCCTCCCTTTGGTATCCTGCAGAGGTAGGTTAAGAATATGACATAATTGTATTCCAAGAATACAAACATGTTTAATATAAATAACTAACTAGTCTCTATGCTATAAAAATGTCCAACATTAACTGATTATATGAAATGAAGAGAAAGGCTTTACTATCTAGAAAATCCCCCTTAATCATATTTCTGATGGGAACATGCTAATGAAATGAGACTTCAATCCATTGTTATTTAGATAATGTTCAGTAAATAAACTTTCTGTTCATAAAATTAAGAGATATTTCACTATAAGGAAAACTAAGGCCCATCTTGACAATCCAAGGATTTTTATGCTGGAATTCACAAGTTAGACGACAGGTACTGTTGAACAAGAGCTTTAGAGTCGTGAGATTTAAGGTCGATTTAAAAAGGAAATCTTAGAGCTCCTCATCTTCATCCATTTCTTCTTTGTCCTTGATACCAAAAAGGTATACCCTAATCTTGTATGATTCTTTCTCTTTGTCCTCCTTGACACCAGGTAAGGTAAACCCTAAATTTGTTTTCTTCTTACCATTTCCTTCATGAAATCAATTTAACTCCTAAAAAATGTCGAGAAACTCTATTTCTAGATCTTCCAGCAAGGCTATTAGAAAGTTATCAAAAAATTCACCTTGATTGCTCTGTCGCTTCACTGTTCTTCCTAATTTTGTCCATATTCCTTGTATTCACAGGATCTCAACTTGAAATGCATTTCTTCCTCAACAACTTCCAAGACACCTGCAGTCCTTAAATCTCATCAACAAGAGTTAGCACATTCTGTCAAAGCTATTTAAGTGCCTTGAACTCTCGGCCTCCTTTGTTTTATGCGAGAGGGATAGAGCAAACTCCGTGCCATGATTCTATACAAAAGCATGGCAAGAATCTTCATGGCCAGCCCAAGAGGGAAAAATGGAAAATGTGAGGAGAAAAATTCACTCGGAATGAAATAAAATGGATTATATTTACAACAATGGGTAAGAGTATATTTATAGGCACATCTCAAGATAATTGTGTCTATTAAAAATACACAATTAGCCCCAAAACTAAAAAACTAATAATAGCTTATATAAATAAAACTAAGGAATTAAATTACCAATATAACAATCTCCACCTTGGTTTTTTAATTCATCAAAATCTAAGAATCCAACATTAAGATTTCTCTTTTATATCCCCCAACAACTCCAGGCAATGCTAAAATTATGAGAATACCAAACTTTTGTCAACATATCTTATGCATTGTCATTTGTTGAAATGTTTACAGTCTACACATTCCTATTACCAATTGCCTCCATAATTGCACATTTATATGTTTTGGCCTTTGGAGAAAAATACTGCACTTTAATTATCACAAAACACAAGCACAACAGTGTGCACTTGTTGAAATAAGTCAAAAACTCCCTCTTTTGACTATAAAACTTCTATGATTTAGGATGCAACAACATATTCAACAATTCATTGCAAATTAGCCCTCCAATTAACAGTATTTTCAAATACTTTAGACAACCAATAAGAGATCTGTCACGACCCGATCTAAGATTTGAAATTAACCAAGATGAGAACAGACTGTCAAACAGTACAAATTAAATTCTTCAATATTTATTTTCTAGAACTAACTATTAACAAATAAAGAGTCACTAATCAAATTAAATTAAAACAGTATATTTAGATTTACCTCGTTACAGGTTATCCACATCTTCTATAAATATTTTTCTTTTTATCGCTCATCTTTTAATCAATTAAACTAACTTGAAAAGTTAGTTTAAACAGTGAACTAAACAAACCAGTGAATATTAATACTCCTACACTACAATAATACTATGAAAAAAGAAAGTAATATGCATGCCAGTTAATTTTTTTAATAAATTAATATAAAATTTTGAGATCTTATTCAAGGAATCTTACTATATCAACAATATAATAATATCATTTTATATTTGTACAACTATTATAGGAGCACCGTCTAAAATTCTATCATTTACGGTGCTTCAATATCAATATCCTTTTTTATTTACGTGCATGGGTACTTTGCGTTCCCACGCTAGCACAATAAACAGATAACTTTATCGTAATCAGTCATGCACATACAAACATTCTATGAAAATTACTATTTACAAAAGAAGTATATTTCATTCTCATTTTGCGTATCAGACAATACACTTATAATTCATTCAATATTTATGATAATTTAAATAATATTCTGCACACATATCATTCCTACAATATAAATAAAAATTAAATAGAATTCAAAATCCTTATTTTTCACTAATTTCGATATAACTAATAATAGTATTAGTAAATGGATTCCATTTAGAAGAAGCAAAATATTATCATAGTCTAAGAACATGAGTACTCACATCGATCACTGATGACTATAAATGTTCTCTTCAATTATCTTCAATAAAAACCTAAAGTCAAATGCATTAAAAATTATTATTAATTTGATATATGTTAATCTTAATATTAGAAGACAATTTGCCTTTTATTTGACCCTTTGATGTATCAAATACTATTAATTATTTTATTATTATCATCCTAATTGTTATATTTATTTAATTATTGCTTTTAAACAATTTACGCTTACAAAAATATTTACAAGAAAGTTAGTTCTCCTAATTTAACTTTCTAGTTACTTTATATAATTTGAATCTTTTCTATTAGGCTTATAATTATACATATATTTAACAATTTATTATTAAATAAATAATTAAAAATAAATCAAACCCTAATTGTTTCTTACAATGTTTAACTTAAAGCATGATTTTAATTAAATTTCACAATTAATAATTAATAATTTATAATATAATAAATTCATAAATGAGTCTTATTACCCCCACGGTTCGGTCGCACTCCTTCCTTTTTTCGCCTTTGGTATGGTTGCTTGAGATCGAGTGATCACAATGTGCAAAGGGTCCTCTGCCACACGAGATCTCGACACTGGCTCATCTTCTTTCTTCAGATGATCCAATTCCCACACACAGTAAAATGTGTTCCACGGATTTGCTTATTCGATCGCGACTCGACACAACAACAGAAATCCTCGACGACGTTGCCATCTTTTTCCTCCTCTACATGCAACCCTCGTCGCACGAAAGCTCTTTCTTCTTGTCTTCCTTCACCACAGACAAGTCACTTGGTCAACCGAGTAAGTTTCCTAACAATTTATAAGGTAAAATTTCACCTCCTTAGCTTCCCGACACTCCTCACTTCATCTCCCTTCTGTCCGACTCCTCGCCTCAACTCCGCCATGTTCGACTCTTCACTTCCTCTCCCGACTACTCATTTCCTCTCCCTCTCTTTGGCTCTTAGACTCCTCTTCCACAGGTAGAAAAAAATTGGACATTACAATCTTCCCCACTTACAAAAATTTCTTCCTTGAAACTTATAAACATACCTCAAGTCATTTTTTATTAAGCAGATTAACATTAGCTATCTATGAAATTAGGGGCCATTCATTAAGATGAAACAGTAATCATTATAAACGTAAAAACTCGATACAAGACGACTCAACTATACTTCAAATAACAATACTAAAGCAAGTTTACTAGGAAAATACCCTATATATATAAGAAAATGCCAAATTCATCAGACCTTATCACCATCAGTAGTAGATTCTTCAGGCTCACTATGAGTAAGGGAATATACTCGAGGTCGAGCAGGTTGTCTTGTTTGACCTTGGATAGAAGTTAAAGCTATAGAATCTATCTTTTTATGTCCACCAGAAGTCTTCTATGAAGGAGTTGCACATGATTTCTGATCTTCAACGCTCTTCTGACCAAAGGATGGACAATATCTTGCTATATGAGCAAGCTGACAATACCAATAGCAAATGTTAGAGCTCATCAAACATTCACTCTTATGTTATCTTCCATATTTAATACAAGTGATTATAATACCTTGAGTCGTACTTGTTGACCTCATTTTTTGTGAGGTCTATTACTCTTTTTAGAGCCTAAGATCTAGCCTTTGGGTTTCGTACTGACTCTCTTAGAAAATTAGCCTGAGACCCGCACCAACTAGAAATTCAAGCCACTTCTTGACTCCTCTCAGTTTCATGTGACCGGTTCTAAATCCTCAACTCTTAGTTGAGTCGATTAAAACCAACGCGACGAAATTCGAGTCGAGTACCCATAGGATATAAAGCCTTAAGAAGTCCTTCATGTCGTCCGCGCACACTCACGATACGCGAATACCATCATTCACACGTCGACACACACAATTATTGAAATTCATGTCACTTGCGCCCGTAGGAGGCTCTACAGTCGATCACGAGCGATAATTTTAAATAAATTTAAATTTGACGCTTTTTCGACTTGCTCGTCGACGAAATCGTCTGGACTACCCCGGATGACGAAACGGACAACGCTGACGCGTTCGGAACGTCGACTTTAACTAGGGAGGACACTCTTTTTGAAATGGTCTCCTGCACGAGCGAGAGGTGTGCAAATCGAGCAAATTTAAATATCATATATATTATGGAGAGATATATTTATATTATATAGGCGGATGGGGAGGGGTTTATTTTGCTAATCCCTAATTGGCACTCACGCACACTACCTGCCCATTCAGTCTAGTCATCTCCATTCGGCTTAAGAGGAGCCCGTCCACCGAGCCCTAATCGCTCCTCACTCCCTTTCCCGCTTCTTCTCCCTCGTTGACCTCTCGTTCATCCTTGCCCGACACCCTCTGCCCGAGAATCTCCTTCCCGAGATCCTCGGATGCTCCGCTCCATCCTCCTTCGCGAGACTCCCCATTCTTCCTCATTCCCCGCAAGCTCCCTACCCAAAAGCTTCCACACTTGAAGCCGCTCCCTCCTCTCGCAGACGAATCCCTTGCTCCCCTTCCCCTCTCGAGAGCCCTCAGCATTGGCTTGTTTTCTCAGCATTTTGGCTGGATCACCAATTTTCTGCTTGGTTCCTTGATATTTTGCTTCGTTGCTTGGTCTCCTGCCTCTCTTTTGTGCCTGTAAAAAGTCTATGGGGGAGAGTTTCTAAGGGTTACAAA